AAATAAAATTAAAATTTAAAAAAACGCCATAGTGGCATATCCTGAAAACACCATGCTAGGTAAAAGAAGCCAATACTACATTATTTCATTTATAAAACCAAATCCAAGTAAGTTAATTATTGGTTGCCTAGGACTGAAAGTGGGAGAAGGGAAGAACAGCAGAAAGTGACAGCTAATGGATAGTTTCTCTCTAGGCTGATAAAAACTCTAAAGTTGTTTATCAGTGGTATTCAGGAAACCTATGATATAAAAAACACCATCACAGTGAACATTTCAAATGTTGTTGTTGTTTTGGTACCGGGGATCAAACTCAGGACCTTACTCTTGCCAGGAAGGCACTATGACCCTGAGCTATCTCTCCAGCTAGCTAAGTAAATATTACGGTATATGAATTTATACATCAAAAATGCTGCCGCTAACAGGCTGGACATGTAGCTCAGTGGTAGAGCATTTCCTTAACAAGTGCAAGGCTATGGGCTCAATCCTTGGCTGTTAAAATAACAAAACAAAACAACGGCTTCAGAATGTCAAAATCAGGTTTGTCAATACAACTTATGCCTTTACAATATTCTAAAAAAAAAATTAAAGAGAACTTTACAGAACAGCAAAACTGCTTAACAGATACTCCCCTAAGGGTAAGATGATGATATTTTTGTCCCTAAGCTATCATTATTGATTTATATTTGTAAACTATCATTATTAGCTTATAATTGAAAAAGTTGTAAAAAAAAAAAAAATTAAATTAAATACATACCCAGTAAGGTTGGGACAGCATTTCATTTCCATGAGACCTGTCTGATCTAGCGCACAGGCATAGATGTCAATAACATGGCCAGTTGTAGCAGCTCGGTTAGCCAACGCTTCAAAATGCTATAAAGATTTTTTTAATTAAAAATGTAAATTTAATCATTCATAAATCAGATCAAAATTAGTTAAGACTAAAAAACAATTCAATTTAAATGATTTGTTCTTAATTTTCTATGTCATAAAAATGATACAGTAACTTCTAGAAATATGTCATTTTCCTTTTAAAAGCCATTATTGCTAAATAAATCCCTAAGTGAAGCAAAATCTAAATAGGACAGTGGACATCTTGCTCTTCATATATAAACACACAGATCAACAACACAGAACTCTTTTTCCTGGATAAATCCATGTTCAAGTAACAAAAATAACCAAAACCAGAGACTGCCAAAAGAGGTTTATGAGATAACCAAATGTAGACTTTTTGTAGCTATAGCCAAGAGAAATCCCAAGCTCAAAGAGGAAATTAGATGGCAGAAAAAAGCATTCATTAACAGTGACAAAAAGTATCTGTCACTCATTACTTTTTTTCATAGTGGTTCTAGGAAACCTTGTTTGTTATTTTTTTTTTTTTACAGGTTCTCACTAAGCTGCCCAGGCCAGCATGCCTCAGCCTCCTGAGTTACTGGGATTCCAAGTGTCACCATCATGCCTAGTTATTTTTTTAAATAACTGCTACTAAAAAATTATAATATAGAGAAAAGGAAAAAAAGACTAAATGGGAAAAAACGGAAATGAAAGCTTTTTAAATAAGGAGGGAAACATGGGCTGAAGGGAGGTGAAAGAAAGAGGAAAAAGAATTAAGATGCATTATGTACAAGTACAAATTCCCTATGATGAATGTGATCACTGTGTATATCAAAAGTATACCAACAAATTAATCTTAAAAAATATAATACAGGTCATTTAAACAAAAATTGTGAACTCTAAAAAATATTTTTAACAGAGAAATTAAAAGCAGAACCAACATGAAAGAGACATCATACACTTGCACACACACACCAAAAGTTAAGTTAGACAACAGCAAACAACTTACAAGAAAACGATGGACAGCTCAAACTATGAGCGATATACATGGGTCCATAGGAAACACACTGCTTCTTGAGAGTGGAAACAAAAACAACTTTTCCTGAAAATAAAGACACTCCCTCACACATACACATTTCAAAAGGCACAGAAAGTTTCTCTCGGGAGTGACCTATAAAGACATAACTACTGAAATCTAACTATCAACTTTTTAAATATTTCAAACCAAAAACATTTAACAATTTGAAAAAATAATTCTCTAATACTGAATAGCAATTACACTACCATACTGATATCAGTAGGTAGAAAAATAATTTTCATTTTTCAATAAAACGAGTATCTGTTTTGTACTATGGTAAAAAGATTTTAAAATCAAAATTACCTTTGTTCCCTTTTTTACATATTTAGCATTGTCTTTATCAATGTCATGCCATGATCTTATAGGTGTCTTCAGTTCATCTCCAACCACCATTCCAGGCCCCTGGGTAGCAGGACCACCAATGAACATCATGATACGAGCACCAGTGTTGGGAAAAGTACACTATTGGAGAAAAGCAATTCATCAGAAGAGTTTAGAGGACAATGAAAAACATATGGTTATATATTTCTGGTATATTATTTTTAGAAAAGAGGAAAGCATGTATTTCTAATCAATAAAATAATCAAATGTTTAAAATGATGTTTTAAAACAAGGTATCTATGCAACTTTAAAATCCTAACTAGGGCCAGGGATATAGCTCAATGGCACAGTGCCTGCCTGGCAACCACATGGTCATGAGTTTGATTCCCAGTATCACGATAAAAGAAAACCTAAGTAGTACTGCATACCTGATTTTTCAATAATCTATAAACCTAATCCCTATAAACAAGAACCCTTCTGCAGTTTATTTAGTCCTAAATAGAGTGGGCAAAAGTCATCTTCTGTTTGGCATTATTGTTCTCCTCCTTCTCCTGCTCTCCCTCTCGGGGGCCAGTGCTCAAAGGCAAACTAAGGACCTCATGTATACTAGCTAGCAACTGTTCTACCACCAAGATATATTTCCACCCATTTATCCTTGTTTTCTATTTTTTTTCCTCCATAATTTTATTGAGAAACAAATAGCAATGAGACAGTTTCAAATCAAATTGGTAGGAAAATTTCAATAATTAACACATTGCATATTCTCTTCCTAGTTATTTGCTGTACAAGATGCGGATATGATATCCTATTTACAAACACTATTAGAACAAATCTCTCTATTCATTAAGAGAATGTAACTACATATCTATTCTAACCATTTTGAATACACAGATACAAAATGGACATTCATCTGTATCCCCTTTTTTGTTCAGTTCCGTCATTTGAATATTATAGGTGTGTGAACTCAGCAAAATATTCTAAAAGAGTCCAGTAGTCCATAATAGTATTGGGTCTTCCGCTTCACTGGCAGTGTCAGAAATTGTTGACCTGAATCCCTTACAGCTCAACAT